GGGGGGGGGGGGGACAAAAACAAAAAACCACACACTTCCATTACAAGGACGCCTACCTGTGTTTGACTTTTAAACACTGAAATAAAGACGAATCTGACCTTGAGCTGTACTTCCCACCTTATTCCCTTCCCCCTTCCAACAGGAACCTTGTTTAATACAAATAACAATTTAAGGATTTACAACATTTAGTGCAATATTTTCCTGAGTTTGCACTGAGAGCCTTTTCTCCTAATTTTCAAATTCCTGAATCCTAATGTATGGTCCTAGCCCTGAGGCTATTCAGATGACAAATACGTATTCAAGGAAAGCAATGGTCCTACATAATATTTTGAAAAATAAATGGTTTAGTAATTAAGAAAAATCTAAAGATCAATAGCACTTGATTCCAACCATATTTCACCCCACAACAGCATTAAAACCAAAGAAACCACATATATGATTTGTTTTTATAATACTACATCTTAACGGATGTGGGGGTAATTCAAGTACCTAGACCCAAAATGAGGGGAGGGGCAATTTTTAAAAAGCAGCAGCCTGGAACTGACTGAACAGACACAATGGACAATTCGATAAAATTCTGGAAAATGACGAAAGAACCTTTATGGGCAAAGGAGCAATGAACAAAGAAAAACTGTTCAAATCTGTACATAAAACCATTTATTCAAAATGGGGAAAAGAATATAGGGTCTGCTGGGACCCCCTATGTTCGTAACCTCAAAACCCAAGCCCTAGCTGAACGACTGGGATGAGTTATAAGTTAAGATCCCCAAAAAGGCACGAACACGCGTTCCAAGCCCGGGCAGTCGACCAAAATGCAGTTACTAAACACCTGAAATAACTTTATTTTTCAACAGGTCTTTCTCCGTTTGTCATAACGGTGCGTGTAAACAGCACAGTCGTTATTTTTACAAGACAGGCACTGGAAAAGGGTGAGACTCATGGTCTCCTTGTTTCCTGTTCAATGTTCTACCCGCCACAGCTTACGGAGACAGAAAATAATTACAGGAACTCCGAGCTCTCCGGCGTAAGACCACGGAAAGGGACGTGAGGAAGGTATTTCTAAATCTTCGCAGAAGGCGGCGAGGTTGAACGTAAAACCTAAAAAACCCTCACTACAAGGTGTGCCGGCCTACGGGGAAGAAATACGATCGCAGCATCTCAGCTGGCCTCCGCCCAAGCATGAACAGCAGTGATTCCCACCCTCTCCCCTTCCCCCGCCTCATTCAAGACTGCCCCCCACCACAAGCCCAAAGAAGACCTCCGCTCGTTAGGCTTCTCCTTTGTGAGACTCCACAGCCGCCGCCCCACACTGGGCCTCCGGGGAAAAGCCACCGCCCCCACCCGCCATATTTCCCTGAAAGGCGCCCGCGCTACAGCTCCCGGTCGCCACTCTCCCCCATGTGGCGGGTGTTTCTTCCCCCATCACCCCACTCAATTGTTCTCCACATCCCAGTCTGGTCAGAAGCTCCCCGGAGAATTGCTCGCCCGGAGACAGCACACGCCATCTCCTCCCCCT